CAGGGACCCCCTGTGAAATGTTCACTGGACTTCCTGTTTCAGGGACCCCTGTGAAATGTTCACTGTGACTGTCCTGTTACAGGGACCCCTGTGAAATGTTCACTGTGATTCTCTTGTTACAGGGACCCCTGTGAAATGTTCACTGTGACTCTCCTGTTACAGGGACCCCTTGTGAAATGTTCACTACTATGATATTTGTCTCTTGAGAAATTAAAGTATTACTAAATTTTAGCTAAAATCTTGTGAAAAATAATATAAAACATTATTAAGAGTAGAAATAAAAAACATTTTGTCATTTCAATTATGTTCTCATCTGTGTATTTGTGTCCCCTCTTGCTAGGTATGGTCCAGCCACTCAAGTAAGGTGGCTTCAAGATTCCAGTAAAGACAGTACCATGGCCAATAAACAAGCTGCAGTCAAAAGACAGATGTCTGCCCCAGAAACGTAAGTACAATTCTGTTTACCAGTAATCTAAAATTTGTGTACCTGTTTTGGCAGTGTGTAAAAAAAAATTATGTAAAGAAATATCCTACTTGATTTTAAATTTAATTCTGAATTATGAGACAATTTCTCTGAAACTTTTTTCTTTATCTAGAGTCAAAATCATTGTGTGTCTGTGAGGACCCTATTTCAATATTCAGGGTTACAGAATTTTTCAATTTTTTCTGACTCGCCAAATTTGTTCTCTTTAATATAAAGTAGCGTACATTCACTTGCAAACACGAGCATCAATCCATCATGTTTTCCTCACTACAGAAGTGCCAGCTCCAAGAAGCCGAAAGCCCCCACTGATTCAAATTAGATGTGTAGTATCATGTGACAGTCACATGTCTTTCAAGTTTTTCTAATTTATTCGGAGATGCCACCTCATCTGTGCTGAAGACTCCCATTAAGAGTGGTTGGCTGACAAGTAAGCTTCTGTGTTATTTTTATGATACAGGGGGAAAAAACGAAGAGAGGTTTTTGTAAAAAAAATAGGTTAATTTTCACTTGTAGTTTTAGAATTTTGTTCAGATTGGGGAGAGATTTGTGTTCTTATTGCAGTATTATCAAACTTTCAGAAAGAAAAAGTCTCCCAGGGAGATTGAGTTTGTTTGCATTGAAGAATTAATGACCATACGTTTTGTTATACTGGGGGGAATTACATTTCTTCTCTGTGCTGTGGATTCAATCCAGATTTTATCAACCGTTGTATTGTATAAAATTTTGAATTCAGATTTTTTGATTGTAATGAACTGTGTTTTAAACTGGATCATTTCGTTAACGCTTGTATTTTTTTCGATGCAAGTCTGGATATGAATTCCATGCAAGTTTAGGAGATTGAGACTTCACAAGCCCTTTTCAGTAACTTTCCTTTCCGGTAGGAAATAAGTTACCATCCTACATAGATATCCCAATATATTATAATGCATATTTTTTTTTACCCTCGTAGACCTATCCCAAGATAATCATAACTTATACTTATTGTAAATACAAACGTAGATAAAGCTGTTATTATTGTAAATTGTATCCCATTTGTTCTGGTGTTTTCTCGTTTTATGATGTAGACTTAGTTTATTACTGGACTTATTATTTTTCAAAAGTGTACATTAAATTTTTGTTATTTTGATTTTTAAGAAATCAGTATTGAATGTAATTGTTTTTAATTAAAACTTACTTCGTTAAGAAAGGAGGGAATACAAAGCATAAAATATCAATTTCTTTGTACGCTGTTGCTCATTGCTCTCCCTACAGACCTCAGTTTATTTAAATTCTAAAGTTATACATTTCCAGGCATGTGTTAACACTTTTCAATCCGCAATACTTCAATTGTCAGTTTGTGTTTTTCTTGTTGCTACATTTTTCGTAGCGCTGACCACCTATGAAATGAAACAGTTGTCTCTTTATTTTTCTCGGCAAGTCCTTTTGTAGTTTAGAACTAATAGTGCTCGGTTGGGTTGATATCCTGCCCTCATAGTTGGATATCTTGAACTGTGCATTTCACCTTAAAAAAACTATATATATTCTTTAGCTTGCACTTATTGTAAAAATGTCATATTCACCCTCATTATGATAGGGTGGGAGGGGAGATATTTTGTTTATGTACTTTAAATGTATTGTATTGTGTAAATTGAACTTGTAGGTTGAACTCTCTCAATGCACGCCTTTTGAAATACGAACACACTGTTGAATAATTAGTAATTTTACCCAACCTTGCATTCTTAGTGCTTCAGTGTCTATATTTTATACACACATTTTAGTTACCTTTTTCATTTTGTCCAGGAATTCGACAAAAAAATATGGATATATAATTAATAGTTTTAGTTTGATTCTTTGTTTACCATGACAATATGGTGTAAACAAAAACTTGAATGTTCCATGTCATTCTGGAATATTATATAATGTATATATATACATCTATCTGTCTGCGGTGGTGAAATTCTGCTCAATATTTTTCAACCTTCTCCACAATGTATTTAGATATTGCAATTTTCTGTAGTGGTTAATTACTGTTAACACTGTATTGTACCGATTTGTCTACTTTGAATAAACCCAACTTTTTAAAAACTTGGCTCATTAATTTTTATTGGCTCCTGTGAGAACTACCAATACTTTGTGCATAGTAATAAGCTAATTTGCATACTGTTAATACCTTTCAGTGTGCTTTATAAAAATCCTGTTTGCTCAAATGATTCAAGGTAGCAAAAGGTTAAAAAAATTGATCTGTGATTCAGACATTTACTAAAACATATATTGCAAGTTAATATGGAATATGCATATGCCATACTAATGTGTCTTGAGGTATTTTATCTGACAACCGTTCCACTATTAAAATACTTTCACTTGCACTTGCACGAATGACCTATGAATAGCACAGGACGTTTGTAACACTGCAAGCTATACAATTGCATTCAATTATATTTATCTACCTTATCTACCAAACCACAGATTGTAAGCAGATTATTTTTTTTCAGACACCCCCCCCTAAGTAAATACCTGATACACTAGACAACTAATGTCAATCAGTTCTTTGATTTTTTTTGTTTGCAACGTCACAAAAGACATGCAGTTTTGTATTATAGGTACTGAGAATTTGCAAAGATGCTTTGTTTTGGGATTATTCTGTGGTGCTAGTGTG